TTTTCTTTACTTGTTTCTGCGACCATTCCAATCTAATTTATTATGTATTTATTTGTATCTGTACATAAGGCCAATGGCCACAGTACGAAATAAAGATATATATATATATATGTCTCTGTTGAACTGCAGTCATTTGAACAAGATGCCGAATGGCAGCAATTTTGGATTTGATGGTGGCAAATACACATGTGTGTTTGTCCGATATGATTCTTTAAAACAAAATGGGCACCAGTCGACTATTCATTGGCCATCTTGAATAGAATATGTGCATATATCCAATATTGTGAAACAAATACATGTGCACAAGTCCAACATAATGTCAGATGTATGTGTGAAATTTCAATTTGACTGCTGAATATGAATAGTGCTGAACAGGAAATAGTGGCGCGCACTGAGATTCATAAGACCAATTAGGCAACTACAGTTCTTTTTACCCAGTAATAATGCTCACATACAGTCTCACAATGTAAACAGTCAAATAAGACAGTGGTAACACAGTGGTAACAGTCATTTGTTAAATCATATATATTTCATAGATAAGAATTTGTACATAAAATTATTCACTGCCATGTAGGTGTTTTCAATGTCTTCTGTCTTGTGTATGCTTAACTGAAAAGACAATTACCGGTAGCTATGAAAGTTACAAAACGATGCAATTTAGTAATTTGGCTACTGCCATTGCACACATATATGGTCATTAAGTACACACACTTTAATATTTATCACTAAATATCCTGACTATTGTGGTCCAAAACCATATCCTAAAGTGGTCTAAAAAAGAAAGTATGTAATAATAAAGTCATACTATGAGGCTACTATGAGAATACCACAAAGAACGCACCAATACAGTACAGTGACTATATCAACAGACGCGTAGTGAAGGTTGATGTGTTACTGTACTGCATAGTGCATAGTCAGCGATATTCTCGGGATGACCTTTGTTCATTGTTTCCCTTCTTGTAGTAATAATTCAGTCACATTCAGTGACAGGATACTTGTTCGATTACGCGCTGATAGCACTTCTCCGTCTGAAGTAAACAAAGCAAAGTGTTTGAATGTGTAATAAACGAGACACACAATTTCCAAATAAGGAAGACATTCAAACGTGTCAATAAAACTTTCAAACATGTCTTTTTGGCTTTTTACTGATGGGTACATTTCAGTTTTTCGCTGTCAGATGTATAATAATAAATGACATTATAAAGTTGTAAATTGAGAAAGTACATTATTAAACTTTCAATTAAATTTATATTAATTTTATAATCTTACTGTCTATGTTTTTTTTTGTAAAACAAATATATTCTGTTCTCTTTTTATAAAAGGTTGTTTGAGCTTCCTATCTATTGCCAATCCACTGAACGCACTAATTTGAAATAAAATATCATGCGAGTCCTTGTAAGGTGTTAGTTGCTTTGATGTTTTATCAGTGGCTCCTAGCATCAGATGAGAAAATGACATCATGTCTTTACTTCCTGGCACCAGATCCTCAGTTTTATTATAGCTGAAAACAAGAAGGAAGTCATCAACGTTTGCAAATGCATTGTGTGGTTACATAACATACATCATGATGAATTGGATATGCTGGTGAATTCTTTTTTTTTTTTTGGTATCATTACTCAATAAATATTTAATAAAAATTTCACATCAAAGAGCAGTACACTCATTTACACTGCTACAGAAATCTAAGACTCTGTGTTTTACTAGACACTGGTCAGTAATATTTATATCACCACCACAGTCATCTGTGTAGTTTTTCCATC